CACACAGGGAACAGGAGGTCCCTTGTGCTGACAGCCCACGGCACGGGCAGCAGTATCAGGGAAAGGCAGGCGCAAGGTCATGATGTCTGCCCTGCACAGGCCTAATAACCCTTCCTTTATTGCAGGGTGCAACCGAAAAGGTTTGACTCATGCACTCCAGTGCTTGTCAGGATGCTTTTTAGGCTAAACTAAAATGCAGTGTTCCTTTATCAGGGAGGGGCAGCAGGACTATCAGAATAGCCATCGAGTCAAGCCTTAGCCGTCTGTGGTTTTCCTCCTAGGACAGGCCTGCAGCAAAGTTTTGGGAAGGAGTGTAAGCAACAACACAGAGATTTGGTTGTCCACAGCTTCTGCCGAGGAGTGGCTTAAGTCCTGTGCTGTAGGTTGCATCCTGACCACTGTGTTTACTAACCCTCTGAACTCAGAGTCCTCTTCCCAAACCTCTCGTCTGTCTGACCTGCACACTGTGCTGAGCAATGCAATCCATTACTCCAGCAGTACTTTGTGTGGGGAAAAAAATACTTCCTTTCGTTTAACATGTGCGTGCTTTGCATGCTGGATGCTTAGCAGGGAGCCACCTGGGGCCATTGCTAGTATTAAGGTGTTCTAATACCCAGCATCAGGTAAAGAATCAACAGGAGTGACTCGAAAGTCACTTAGAGCTTCTCATTTCATGGGAATAGTAAGGTGTGCTTGGAAGCATGGTGGTGAAGACCGATGCAAGGTTGTATCTGTGAGCAGCTTAGCTTCAGAGAATTTCAGACCTTTGCAGTTGTTTAATCCTGATCATTTCTCACCTTAAATCTTGGCATCTGTTGGCAGAGGCAGCAAGGCAGAAGGTAAGTGGCTGCATCTATGGCCTGTAGAGAGAGGATGCAGCTTTTTGTTTAGTTCAAGTGCCTTTACTGTCCTTGCTTTCCTCCTTTGCTATGTGCACAGTGCACAACAGCAGGGCAGTGGAACAGCAGCGTTGGGCTAGATGTGGACAGATTGTATTTCAAATTCTCAATTAAAAACAAGTCCAAAACCATGGGTTCTGGTCCACAGCTTTGCTTTAATTCTCCGAGGGTCCATGATGGAATGTATAAACAGTGCAATCTCAGCAGACCGGTACTGCCCGTGGCACTCCAGTTCTCCATGGCGTCACAGCTCTCTGAACTACATGGGATACGGGTGAGGAGCCTCACATCCTGCACACCTCTGTCACAGCCTCTGGGTCAGGCTTGTCCATAGAAGCCACAGAAGCAGGGGTGCAGTCTCTCTCAGGTGAGTAGTGACTCCGAGGAGCCTTAGCCCCTTGAAGCTGAGCACTGCAGCCGAGCTGCTATGGACTTGTTGCCATTACTTGTTAGAATGTGTAGTAAGCCTAGGATGGCTTTTTTCCTGGGTCTAACAATGTCCTTTGGATAGTGGAATGCTTCAGCAGTTGGGCTGATACTGAAATCCTTACTCAGTTTTGAGAGAACGGCTGAGGATGTAGAATCATAGAATAGTTAGGGTGGGAAAGGACCTTAAGATCGTCTCGTTCCAACAGTCATTCTTGTTACCGATGTTGTGCTGCTATTTCACTTCTTATTCTTTTTAAAGAATTAAGGTGCTGGACTCGCGCTCAGGAGGGGCTCAGAACTGATCAGAGAGGCTCATCAGAGCTGTGTAGAAATGTTTTGGGCTTTAGGTTTCTTTTCCTGCACTAGCAAGTAGTGCCGCCCAGGAGGAGCTGGACAGTTGTCAGTGTGGACACTACACGTTTCATGAGGGTTTCTTTCAGGCCAGCATTAGTCCAGCTGTGTGGCTTGTGAGTCAGCTGCAGTGGATCATCCGGGTTAGCTTCATCCAAAAGCAACCTTGTTTTCCTGCTGTGCCTGCTCACTGCCGTGGACCGTAGCACAGTAGGTGGGGACAGGCAGGAGATGCATGCTCCTGTTTGAACTAAAATGCTAATTTAGCCACACAAAGGCAAGGCAAACAAGAGTTGAGAGCTGTTGCTGACTGCTGTGACCAAAGGATCATCTATGGTTCAGTCTACAGCATTTCTAAGAAGAAGGAGCACCACAAGCCCACTGCAGTAGTCGTGCATCCTAACCCCCTCCCCGGCTCTGCTTCACACCTCCTGGTGCACATGCAGCGCGGGTCACTCGGTCTCCAAGCAGTGAGCTTACAGGCAAACACGGCACTACTTCTATACCTTTAAGAGTACTAGATAGCACTTAGTGAGAACAGAAACCTCATAGTTTGGTATCTGAATATCCCTTTATCATCAGATGTTACCGTGAGCCCAGTGTAACTTGCAGAAGAGAGGTACAGGGAGAATGATGCTGTTTAGAAGCTTGGATTACATTTTATTGAGGAAATAGGAATGATAGGTAAGTTGAGGCAGAACAGCTGTGGCAGGCACTGCTGCAGCCTGGCCTCTCACATCCACGGCTTTGACCAAAGGTCAGAGTTGTCTCCCTTTGCTGGCTGTTAAAGGACAATGGTACCTGCTAGCTGGAGGTGGTTAATGAAGGACACAGTATGATCTCAGGCTGCTATGACAGTGTGAACACGCTTCAGGTGATTTCCCTTGGCTTTGTACATTGGTGAAGGGAAGTCAGTTACTCCTGATTCTCCTTAAGAAAGAGTGAGTACGTTACAGACACTGTTCTGTAACAAAGAGCTCGGTGTCAGTGTGTCAGAATGTCCTGTTTCTCCCAGCAGTCCATCAAATATTGCATCAATACTGAAGGTGTCAAAAGCGAGTGCAAATAAAATTACCACAGAGCTGTAGCCTGAAATTCATTAACTCACCTCAGCCTTTGGTATCACACCAGCGGCTTGCAAATATATATCCACATATGTATGTATGTATGTATATATATAAAAATTACTAACCTTTTCTCAAACAAGAATTCTTCTGCAAATTCTGGCAATCTCTTGCTAGAGATCCCCCATCTTTTAGACAACTAAGGCTATGCTATGTCAGGGCTTTGTTTTAACTTCATACACACAACCACATTACTTCACAAGGACATACAGCTGAAAACCACTAAGCTGATTGTCGGAAGGCCATAAACTCTCCCTCACCGACCTAGAGGTGTAATAGCCCATCGCAAACTGGATGCTGTATTTGGAAGCCCTGAGGTTTTGATTTAAAGTGAGCTTCTGCTTTCTGTCCCCAGGAGGGTTGCTGACAGCAGTGTTTCACCAAGCGACTAGAAACTACAGCCTGGTGCTGGTAAGAAATCCTTGTCTTCAATTTTAGATACCCCAGAGGGGAGAGAGGAAGAGCCAGAATCCCACAGTCCTAGAGATCGCTTAAGGGTTTGATCTTGATCTTGGTTTTTATGCTGCCCTCCCCATCTCTGGAGGAACGTGCACATTTCTAGTACTGGAATTCTTCCCAGAGTTGGCAGAGCTTCAGAGGCTTTTATCTTGGCTGTAGTACCCACACGTTTCTGCAGAGATCCCCGGGGAAAAGAGTTGGAAACAGACAAAAGAACAAGAAAGCTCCAAGGTCCTCCAGGAGGCTCTACCCCACTGGCATGATTCTCCAAAAGCCACTCATACAGGGAAACCCCTATCTTCCTTCCCCATCTCCCGCCGGTCACCATGAAGCGTCCCAGCCCTTGGCTTCTCCATAGGACCCATGGCTTTCACTGTGTGCTATTCTCTTTCCTTTGCTGGTGAGAGCTCTCCCTACGCATGCTGAGTTAGGGCCCTAGAAACTTGTCCTCAGCTGCATTTTGCTGTTTCTGCAGGGTCCCAGCAGAACCACGCTGCCCTACAGGCTACTCCCTTCGCACTAAAGGTTCCCAGACTGGTTGGTGTTGGAAGGGCCCTCTGGAGCTCCTGCAGTCCAACCCCTGCCAAGGCAGGGCCACCCAGAGCAGGGCACACAGGAACGTGTCCAGGCGGGGTTGGGATGGCTCCAGAGAGGGAGACTCCCTCGGGCACAACCCCCCCCGGCAGCCTGTGCCAGTGCTCTGCCACCCTCACGTAAAGAAGCTCTTCCTCGTGTTGAGGTGACTCTTGTTGTGGTTCAGTTTATGGCCATTGCTCCTCGTCCTGTCGCTGGGCACCATTGAAAAGAGTCTGCCACCGTGCTCCTGGCACCACCTTTGAGATGCTGACCTGCATTGATGGGATCCTCTCTTTTCTAGGTTCTTTTGTTATAGGATCAACCCTCTGGCCACCGGCCTGTGATACCGAAAAGCTCTCCTCTGAGCCCCCATGAGGGAAGACAGAGAACAAACCTTCATCTACCAGAGCCCTTCAGTCACTCACAGCAGGAAGTTGTTAAAATGATCTCAACCATTTCAGCTGATCTCAACTATTTCAGCTGTACAAAGAGCCTCTGTGCGTGGATGCTACACTTTAGTACTCTTTTAGGCTTAGCCATAAACATTAATTTCAGCCCACTGCCTTATTACTGGGATGTGGCGTGGAGCACTTACCTCAGCAACACAGAACACTGAGGACCAAGAGCAGCATTTGACACAGCTGATGTATCCGCCTGTATATCTACACAGCAGGTTGTTACCTTTCTATCTACTCTGCAGGCGCGAGGTTCAGGGGGTTCTGCCTGCACAAAAGAGAAAATACCCAAGAAACCTGAGCATGCATAAACTCGTTGCTGTGCAGTAATATTGGTCTTTCATCTCAAAAAGCTTGGGGTCTGTTTCTACCCAGGTTGGATTGTGAGTTGTCAGCAAAAAGCTGATCAAGAGCAGTGCTGAGGTTACCTGTGAAGTTTCCCGTAGCACTGGGGAAGGCTATTAGTCGGAAAAGGAAGTTCAGTTCCAAATCAGATAGTAGCTTTAACTGACAGGCCTGATCCTGCAAGCCTTACTCATGTAAGTGGCTGTCTTGCTTTCAGCAAGATTGGTCCAGCCAGCAGCTCTCACTAGCTCGTGCCAAAAGCTTTTCTAGATAACTACATCCAGGCGGGGGGGGGGAGGGAGAAGGCAGACATCGCAAAATAATTCATTTTCCACAAGAAAGCAGCCATAAAAAGAGGACAGTCAGTGAGCCTTGCCCGTAAGGTTACTGATTAGCTACTAAATTAAAGGAAAGGCTAGCATGTTTGGTCATGAATTGTGTCACACACCGCGGGCATGAGCAGCAGTTACTATGGACACAGCTTCCAAGAGAAGAGACAGGCAGGGAGAAGGAACAAACAGTAGAGCTAGAAAAGAGTTAACTGGGATTGTGAAAGATCTAAAAACCTTATTCAACATCGAGTCAGTAATCCTTGGCATTCCGAAACTCTGGCATGCTCCAAACCCTCCTGGTGGGCTGGGTGCCCCGTTCCACATCCTCAGAGATGGTCTTGATGTCACTGATGAACGGGGAAATCCTGGACCGGGATTTGAATGTTGTTAAGGAGAGGCTGGTTTTGTTCTTTGTGTTCCATTGCCTGGCAAGCTTCTTGGCCTCTTCCTCTTCTTTGATCTTCTCAGCAGCTTCCTGCAGGGCAGAGCGGAAGAGCCGGGATACTTCCTGCACTTCTGGTTCATATTCAGCAATGAGTTGCCGGAATCTGCAAGCACAGTCAAGGCACAGCTTTGATTAAAACCATCAAATGACACATCGCTGCCAAGTCACTGTGCTAGGCTGGGAACTTGGCGCTCCTGCAGAATGGGACTCCCTGGAACTAGAGGGAACAACAACAGGGAGGGGCCATGAAGATCTGCTCAAGGTTTCTAGAATCACAGAGAATGTAAGGAAGCAATGATTCACTGTTTCTCATAAGGACAAGAAATAATAGGGAGCAGCAAACAAAGCTAGAAGGTGGCAAGTTCGAAACAGAAGGAAGTGCTCTTTTCAGACACCACCTATTAAATCAGAACTCGGTGCTATCAATAGCTTAAGAAACAAAATGATTAAGCAAGTTTGTGGAAAATGTCCCCATTACTGCTGATTAAACGTGATTATCCAAATGCAAATCCTTGCTCAAGTCACCCCTGAACTGCTGCTTACCAGAAGCTGGGATAAACCAGGGAAAGTCGCACTAGACTTCCCTCGTTTCCAATTCTCATTCCCCAGTGGCCGTGAGACAAACAAAATTCCTGTAAATCTCTTCTTTGTTATATGTTTGGGTGTCTCCCAGTATTCAGTGAAGTGACATTTCATCTTCCTATGGATTTCTGCAAGGGAATGGACCAGCTCAGCTTGACTGGCAGCATGATGCTGTATCTAAGTGGACAAGTGTGAATTACTCCAGTGCTTTCTCAGGAAAGAGCTCAAAATGATTGTTGTTTAGTAAGCTAGCTTAATGCCAGGGAAGTGAAGAATTGCCCCTGTTTATTTTGCAGGTGAGGAAGGGGAGATGCAGAGCAGGATAGTGTTCTTGAAGTCACTGAGTGGGCTGCTGGCTGGGCCAGGAGGAGAACGTACCATTCCTGACACCTTGTTGGGTAATGAGGTCCTCAGCCTGGAGAGTGTGGGATCCACTCCCTAGCACTCACACACTGGGCATATAGATATTCTAGTTGTTCCATAGTAGCATGCATGTATGACAGATGGTAATATGGCTACTCCTGTAATAATCAGTTCTTAACATTAAAATTGTATCTCCAGGTAGACACAGAGCTGAAATAATACTTTGCTAAAATACAGTTATTTGTACTTAATGGAAGCTAAATGGCCTGTAAGCGTTTTGATATCTTTTCTCCAACAGAACTGAATGAGGATGGAGAACAGTAGGATTGCATTTAAATAAGCCTAATATAGCAGAAGCTCATAGAACAAGATCTTGCCTATTGGTTTCTTTAAAAGCCTTAGGAACATAACAAGGAGTTTAGTGCATTATGGAACTGCACTGCTTAATGGTGTATCAAAGGGAACCCACGATAATAAGGACAAAAGAAAACCAGAGATAAACCAAAAAGCCTCTTTGTACATTTATGCCTTTTGACTCTCCCTGTGGAGGCCTGGTATTGGACATACATCTTAACAGCATGCTGTATCCCAGGTGTTTCAGTGTGCTTCTCTCACAGCACGTGTTGGCAGCTATGTGTACAGCAGTGGGGACACCGCTACTGCATGCTGATGGAAATCTGTTCCAGCAGAAGCTGCAGGCCCTTGCAGGGTCAAGCTAGAGGCGTTTGATGCAAATCCCACCAGTCACCAAGATGTCCCTTAACCATTTCAGTTGCTGAATTCCTAACCCACCCCCTCCAAAAAAACCCAACCCTAAATGTGGACCACTGGGATGCAAACAGCCTCTGAGGCACCGTAGTTCACACTGGTATGGAAGCCCGTGCACAATACTGCCAAAGTGAGTTGTGCAGAGCCACTAAGTGCAAGAGACTTGGTCTTGCTGAGTGTTACAACACTAAGAGGGATTTGCTGCACGTGGCAAACATCCTTTCTGCTTTCTGGGGAGGCGCTGCAGTTGTGATTTCAAAGAGACAAAAATACAGTTTCCACAATAAATACACTTCTCCCTTTACTCTGTAGAGAAGCACAGACAGATGAGTCTATTGAAACCCAGGTCTTCACAACATTATAATTCTACTGAGAAAAGCACCTTCAAAGGGCTTTTACTGCAGAGGTGAACTGAATGAGTCATTCCATTATTTTATCTGCATGTGTATTTTAAAGAGAGCTGCTGTCACGTTGTGTCTATAGCTATCAGTACATCTTTTGTATTGGCAATTGTTGCACCCAAGAGGCCTCATCGCTGCCTCCAGTTTTAGAGGCTGGGTGGCATGCTGCTGGCCTGTGGCCCCAGAGCAGGTAGCACCATGTGTCAGGCTATAACTGGACCACTGAGTGCCTCTGGGAACAAGAGGGAAAACGGGTGGTATGATGACAAATTTATCCCCTGAGCACAGAACTCTAATACTAATGCCCTGTGTTGCTAATAATACTCCCAATCAAACTAGCTGAAATAGTTCTCTAAAATCAGCTTTCCGCCTTTGTAGCTCTCTGCCTGTTTGCATTCTCCTTAGCTAGGGCAGCAAGAATTGGTTTTGCTGTTAAGATTTACCTCTGGCTTTTCAGGACCAACACAAGAACTACTTCAGATGGATCTGAGCAGGTCTAAGAGACAAAGAGAAGGTGAACCAACAGACTGTCTGCCAGTCACCCAAAGAAAAGCCACACTCATTCAGATGGAGAAGGGAAAAGGGGCCCTTTCCTCCCACCCAACAGGATGAACTAGCTTCACCCCTTTATTAATGCCCACCTAACTTCAGTACCAGCATGTTTGTGTAAGGAGCAGCCCCTGCATGAAGTCCAATAGGTGTGCATGCCACAGTTATTTCTCAGCAGAAAAGATGGACAGGTTCTGAGGGGGTGAGGTCTAGCTAAACCAGTCTGTGTGTCAGGAAATAGCTAGCTCGCTGTAGCCACCTACGCAGCATTGAAGCCATCCTTCCCAGTTACCAATGAAAACCAGTTGATGTACTGGATGATCAAGCAATCTGCTCTCTGCACAAAACACGCAAGGGATAAAAACGGTACAAACCACTGGAATCAAGGAATATGGGCTTGTATCCTGGGAAACAAACTCCATGCAAAGCTGCTCAATGGAATTCAGCAGAAAAAAATTGCACAAGGCTCACCTACCTTCTAGCACAGGTTAACACCCTTACACTTTTGCATGGAATAGTTCCAGGCTAAGCAACTGCACATCCATATCCAGAAATCCCTCGACATGGTTTCCTTATTCATCAGAAAAGTGTACCTATGTTATCCCTGAAACAAGTGATCACACTACTGGTAGCCAATCTCTAACATTATGCAAGTCTCACAGTCTTAGACGTGACCATCAACAAAACTCACCTTGAACCAGCAAAGCAGCCTGGAGAGCATGTATACACACACACACACACACACACACACAGAGGGATGAGCACATTCCCCACTCCAGGCTGTGTTCCATTCACAGCTCAGACAAATTTGTTCTTTACACTGTGAGCCTTCCATCTCCTTGTACAGCCAGTAGAACTGAGGAATCGGACAGCACTTGGCTCTTGCTGGCACTGCTTTGTAAAGCACTGTCACCTGCCCATGTTACTCTGTAGGTCCCCAGTTCAGTAGGTTTCCTAAGTACAGCCTGAACTTTAAAGACCTCTTAAATCCAATGGAAGTCCGTGGACTTAAACAGTGTGCTCATAGTTCAGCGTACTCCCGAGTGCCTGTCTGAACTGGGAGCTCTAAGTAGATTTAGTCACTCAAAGAAAACATGGGCTGCTTAGTGCTAATAATTAGCTGCTGACTCCTGAATCTATATTTTGAGCAGGGATTCTGGCTATATTGTAAAGCAATGCGGAGCTTTGCTAGGGAAGGCTGCTTGACCCCCACAGGACCATGGCATTCACTAACTCGTATCACCCCAAACTTAAGCTCATGATAGTGAATCAGCCCGTGTCTGGTTTTAGGCATTTGTCTTACATTCAAGCATGGGAAGTCCACTTCAGCTATACACAGTCCTTAGGATATTACAGTCCTTGGGCTGCAGTATTAATAACATCTAGGATCACCAAAATGCAGGTTTGCATTTCCATATTAGGCTTTTATTGTTTCACTTTTGCTGAAACTGAAAGAAATGAAACCGCTCTGATGGGAGCTTAAGCTGAGTAAGGATGGTGAAACCCTAGTGTTCTGTATCAGCCAGCTACTAGTTACTTGTTCAGTTTAACCATGGCAGGTAGCAAGGGCCTCACCAAAAATCACCGACACTTCCTTCAAATGGCTCCAGGATTCCATTTGAAATCTAGTCTGTGATCTCCAACCCAGTGACCTACAGCTAAGTTACACCTGAATGCAACAGCTTCATTTGTATGGGGTGAATCAGAGTCTCCAGGTAGCTGATGGTACCCTTCCAGAATTTCAGGTGACTCACAGAGAAGTTTCTATTGGCCTGAAATACAAACCCAGGCAAACTGCATCTGAAGGAAAATCCCTCCCGTTTCAGAAGTGCTCCTTTCCAGCCTTGTCCACATCTAAAAGAGCACACTTGGAGAAACTCTGCTTCTCAGCAGATGTGACTGCCGCCACAGAAAAGGACAGTTTGGATGAGCATTTAGAAGAGCTTTGGAGAATGAAGTCACATCTCTGACAACTCAGACCCAAGTGGTTTGTTCTGGTTTTGACTCTGAGCTCCGAATCTCCCAGAGAAGGAGACTTCGTGTGACACAAACGAAACAAACACTGCAGCCTTACAAGGTGCATGCCGTTTGTGTGATTCAAGTATTACACACATGTCGAGTACATCAGAAAGGACTTCACCTCTGAAGGTGTCCAAGCTGGAAGGGAAAGGATCCAGCTTAGTGTTTCAGCCAGAACCAAGGGCTTCGGTAAGGTACACGCTCTGCATTTGAACTTCCAAATGCAAGCTCATAGATCTTTTCAGTGGGAGATTTTCTTACAGTGGCTACGTATTAGAAAGTCACAGAGGATTCAAGAGGAAACACCAGCAGTGCAGCAATCTGGTGGTTAAAGTACTACCCTGCAAATGTGGCCATTTCAGCTGAATTCCTGTTATACTGCTCTTGGGCAGTTGGGGGGAAATTACTAAAATCTCCATGTTATCTCACTGCCTGAGAGGAAATTTAGCGAGTTCTGGCTGTCTTTTAGTTACACTGTGTGCTCCCTTTTTCTGCTGTGCATTTTCAGCCCCTAGCATGGCAAGCCTCATCCTTTTTAATTGGTTCCATAACAGTAATGAAGATTTCTGAACCACAGGGCTCTGGGCAAAAAGGTAGAAAAGAAGAAGGGTCAACTGCTCACATTTCCAACACAAGACAAAGGGATTGTCAAATACAACTAGTCCATACTAGTTTAAGACAAGCAAAATACAGTTTTCTCCAGAAGAGCTGTAGTTCAGGTGTGGAACTCTGCCTCGGGGTGCCACAAATGCTAACCTTTACATGTGTTCAGAACCAAGAAAAGCAAACCCCACGACTTAGGCAAACTACTGAAAGAAAAAGCCACAGAGGGCAATTATGGACAGAAGGGCCACTTCTGGCTCCAGAAGTCTCCAAGGCCCAGTAAGCTGGAGGCGAAATGCAAGATACTGTGATTGGCCACACTGTTGTATTTGCTTGCCCTGTTCTTTTCTCTTGTCCTTACGCTGATGCTACTGGCACTATCTCGCAAACAGACAGCACATGAGATCAAACAGACCTTTGACCCAATCCAGTTCTGCTCTTACTGTGGCTATGGCATGCCCTTCTCAATCAGGGAACTGAACCAACAAACGTTATGCAAGTCTCATTTATTTAATGTGGCTCTGCTAACCATAGTATGGAACAAAAAAACCATGCCACTTCTTGACTCATACTGTAATACAATTCATAATAGCCTATAATAGCAATTTCTAAGAGGATTTTAGGAGGATGGTTTTATCCTTCTTCAATCATGCCCACGTAGAGCTCACCAATGTTGCACCGGGTATGTTTCTCTACCGCCAGCAGCACGCCGAATCCTGAGCAAGCACTAGAAGCAGCACTGAAAACACACATCTTTGCATGAACAAAGCAGGAGCAAGCTGTAGATGGCTCAGCTTAATCCTCTTTTCTGAAGGAGCTGACAAAGCCTCCCAGCTCCAGCGGCTGAAGCCTGCTCTCATGGAAATAACCTGTTTTCCAGACAGCCCTTGCTCCGTGGCCCTGGGGAGGGTGAAAATAACTCTGAACCCCAAGGGCTTTGAAGTGGCTTGTTTACAGCATAGCTTGGAGTTAGACAAATGTAAGGCAGGTGCTGTTTCCAGCAAACTTCCACTGGGAAGAACCTGGCCACTGAATGAGCCCAGATTTCCGATTCTGCCACAATGACAGCCTCTGCAAGAGCCAAAGCCCTGTGCCAGCTTGCCTCCAAGGTTCAGCCCCAGGGCAGATGAGGGCTAGAGAGGTAAGACAAAGCACCAGCTCCTTCCAGCCCTCTGCCAGTTGTAATTCAGGAGCTGTAGATTCATTTGTTCGAGAGAAAAACGGGTGCCATCACATGCAGTGAGTGACTGACTGCAGGGTGTTGGGAATCCCTTTGTATATGGCCTGCCAGGACTGTTTTATTTCTAATCCCAGCTGAAGAATATGTTGGAAGAGGGGAAGTGGATTATACAGCCCCATTTCACATCTTGGCTTTGGCTAAGGTGCACTGCACTGTGCTCAGCGAGAAGATTTAACTTGGAACACCTCTCCCAGAGGAAGAGAGTCACCTCTTTTCCCCCAGCTTGGGTGCTGGAGCAGGCTTAGAGCTATTTCTGAAGACATTTTCACTGAAGGTTACTCAGCTGGCCAGCAGCAAACCTAGATCCAGCACTTGACAGGCTCAACAGCAAGTCCAACAGGCTGTTATCTGTCTGTACAGTGCAGGAGGCAGAAGTACCATGTAGCTGTTCCAGCCAACAGCATGCCCCACCTGCCTCCTGCTCCACACGAAGGGTGTGGAGGGAGGGAGAAGCATGCAATCCCTACTTTCTGTGGGAGTACCCGGCTCACAGGCTAACAACCACAATAGCACCTTTTGGCTAGTCTGGACACTGGGGACAAATGCCTCAATAGACCTGCTGGACAGCTTAAACCAAGGAAGGAAGGTTCCAGTGAGAGTGCATAAACACCAAAGCAGGTTGTTCGGAGGCTGCGGAATCTCCACCCTCAGAGATATTCAGCAACAGACAGCACAAGGCCCTGAGTAACCTGATCTAACTCTGAAGCTGGCCCTACTTTGAGTAGGAAGTTGAAGTGTGTATCTCCAGAAGTCCCTTTAAACCTCAGTTATTCTATGGATTCTAAAGACTGAAGCAGAAGCCATCACAATACTGGAATGGTAACTGTTCATCCGGCAAGACAAAGCTTCTCTGGCTGCTCAGGAGCATAAAGTACTCAAGCCAATCTCAGAGGGAAATGGCATACAGTAACTTTATGGAGGCAATGGTACCACATTAAACTACCTTAAAACATTAGGTTTCTCTTCTTCCACAGAGACCCTGTCCCAGCATGACTTAAAATACAAGATGCCAAGGTTTGGTTCTGTTGATTCAAACCACTCTTCCTCCCCGCTCACATATCAGGAAGAGCAGATGGGGGAAGGAAAGGTCTGTATGAGCACATCTTTTACTGTACCTGAGTATGACAGGCCCACAGTAGGACGGGTGGATTTTGGTACACATATCCTCCAGCTGCAGGCGCTCTCCTGGGCTGATATCATAGCTCTGCTTTGGATAGCTGACCAGCCAGCCGTAGTCCACCCCGGTCTTGATCTTGCGATACTCATTCTCCCGCTCTCGCTGCTGCTTCTCTGCCTGCTTGGTCTGCCAGCTCAGCTCCATCATGAGCGTCTCCACCACCATCTCCGTGGGGCTCCTCTGGGAAATGCGGCTTGGGGGCTCGTTCCACCGGAACCAGGAGGCCAGTGACATAGTGCTCTGCGTGTCTTCATGCAGAGGCGGTTGAGGGCAGGCAAAGAGAGAAAAAGAACAGTGCCATCATCACCAACCTCAGCCAAGAACCCTCTCCCCTGCATGTCCCCCTGAGTCCGTTGTTTGCCTAACACTGCTACTGGGTTAGCCAGTTAGGACTAACGGGTGCTGAGCACCTTGAGAGATCTCTGCTGCCGTGGCCAACCTGTGCAGAGGGTGATGCAAAGCGGGGAGAGACAGTTCCCTTGAACTGCCCATCACTGCATCATTGAAGTGACAGCCACAGTTCTATGTCTGGAGTTAAGGAATAAGGATACCTTGCTCCCTCCAGGTCAGGATGGGAAGCATTCTCCTGCCCACGTGGAAGAGCTAGAGCTAAGGTTTGCCTGTCTGAATCCTCATGGGAGAGCATGACCTTGCAGCAGCTCTATATGAAAACCTCAACACATGGAGTCCAACTGTTGCTGGGAGCCACATTCTAGCCAGCAGGAGATCCTTAGGGACAAGGGCAGGAGAGGTGACCTGGTGTGGTGGGTTGGCCCTGGCTGGACCAACCAGAGCACCAAAGCTGCTCTGTCACTGCCCTCCTCAGCCAAACGGGGGAGAGCAAATACACCAGAAGGCTCGTGGGTCGAGACAAGGACAGGGAGAGACACTCACCAGTTACCAGCACAGGCAGAACAGACCCCACTGGGGGACATTGAATTGTTACCAATCAAACCACAGCAGGGTGATGAGAAATGAATCAAATCTTACAACACCTTCCCCCCCTCCAGCCTGAGTCCCCTGCAGGGTCACAGCTCCTGCAGCAAACCTGCTCCAGTGTGGGCTTCCCATGGGGTCACAGCTTCCTGTGGGCATCCCCCTGCTCAGGCATAAGGTCTTTCATGGGCTTCAGGTAGAAACCTGCTCCCTCATTAACCTCCATGGGCTGTGGGGCACAGCTGCCTCCCCATAGGCTGCACCATGGGCTGCAATGGAGTCTCTGCTCTGGAGCATCTCCTGCCTCCTTCTTCTCCGACTCTGGTGCCTGCAGAGCTGTTTCCCTCCCATGTTCTCACTCCTCTCTCTGGCTGCAGCTTCTCCCAGGAGCCATCCCTGTAGCCTCCCCGCTACCACAACCTTGCCACACAAACCCAATCCACCGGGTAGGTTTGCTGCTGCTGTAATGTACGTGGTAAAGCTCACCTGTACTTCGGTAGTCCTGGCAGAAGCAATAGATACAGTAACTACAAGGCCAGGCAGAGCTTTACTCATTACTTAGCAAATGTGCTGTTGCAAGCAGGAAAGGCTGCAGCACCTTCTGGAAACCAAAGTTGAATTATTAGCCATGTGAGAAGAGCATTACCACCAGTGTCAAGGGAACTGAGGCTGGGCTGACAGGGAAGGAGCCACATATCAAGGTTCAAATTGTTATTACTTCTAAGTGAGAGGTTTCTGCTGCTGGGAACATGGAGAAGGCAAAACAAACTGCACCGATCAGCTCAGCAAAAGATGGATTTAACCCTCCACCTGGCCAGTCCCTTCTTGGAGTCATTTCAAGAGGACAATGCATGGAACAAAGTTATTAACTATTGTACTTGTATTTAAACACAATGGAATCCAAAGCAGGCACTAGGGATGTGAGCAGGAGCAAAACAGCATCTGTTTCTTCACACAGCACACTTACGTGCCTTGCTGCTCCCTTCCTTTAGCCCCCAGGGAGAAGGGGTGGCACAAATAAGCGTTGCAGCTGGGATTACCAGAAAGCTACTCTGGGCAGCAGCCCAAGCAGGACATGGAGTTAACATGAAGGTAATGACTGAAGAGCCTCGTTCTGCAGGGCCAGAGCAAATCCTCAGTGATGAGGCACAGACACAAAGAGAGACATGAAAGGGAGAAAAAGAGGCTTTTGATTTAAGCTGCTGTACTGGGGCCTAGAGCCTTTAGTGACAATGCAGATCACCAAAAGCTCATAACTACCCAGTACTCCCATTATTGCTGAGAGCCATAAGCTTCCAGACTCCCTAGAACAGCAGTGGTCCATAGGATTCTGCCTTCATTGCCTGGAAAACCATCACCATCTGCACGAGGTCTGAAGGACGCTTCAGTTGCTTTCATGCCTTTAGCACTTGCCATAACGTAGCCTTGTTCTCTTTCAAAAATGTTCATGTAATGTAAATATGTCACAGCATTTCAGTAGGGAAAATGCTCCAAACCCATGGCTAGTCTGTACAGTGCCCAGGTATGAAATTATCCCAGGATCTAATGCTTAATCTTTTCTAGAACCAACAAGTTTGCCAAACTGCACCAAAGGACTCTTGTCTCTAATCCTCTATCCTACGTCTCCCAGCAAGCAACACCAGTTTCTCCAGGAGCAACAGCTTCCAGAGGACACAGATCTAGCCAGCTAGGTGTGCAAGGCCACAGACACTCTTTTGAAACTGCACAAACATTAGCACCTTTGCTGCTTTATAGTGCTTACATGTGAGAGATTGCTGTAGTGACCGCTCTTGCCCTGGAGTATCACCTATGATTATCCTTATGATAGCAGCCACAGTCAGCAACTGCTGGAAGTAACCTTGCTCCTCTCTCATTTCTGTGCTCAGCAGGAGGAGGAGCAGCAGCTCCTTTCATTTGCTTTCATGGCCAGGGTGAGTCCAGCTAACATTGCTCTGCCTGCCTGCTGCTGCAATACCTGCCCAAGACACGTGAATGAGCTCAGGTTGGAACTGATGTGCTGAAAGCTTCAACTCCGTAATCCCACCATCCTCACATGTACCTGGATCCTGCTACATGGTAGCCTCCATTCACCATCACACACTATTTAGGATGAAGATCCTTAAAACTTAAGGCCCATTCCTTCATCCTACCACTTATGTATCACATAGGTAAGCCCTACTAGCAACATAACAGACCACGAGCGGTTGTAAATGATTTGAAAGTCTCCTGTTTCTTTTCAGCTTATGTGACAACAGCAATTTTTCATAAGTTTTACAGACACCTGACCAATTCATGTATCATTATTGTTCCCATTTGTGCCTTCATCCGATGAAGGTGAGCGTGCCCTTCTGTATTTCACCAGCGAAGGGTTAGCTTGCTTTGTGCTTATTCTGGCTATGACCTGATCTCACACTGGCGTAACTCTGCTGATCTCAGTGTGTCAGGGGGAAATCAGCGTAACTGTGAACCTGAGGAATGCCCTTCTAGCTAGTCCAAGCTCAGCAGCTCGTTTGTTCATTAGAAGAGGAGCAAGAGGGGAATTTAGTGGTCAGAACTGGGAAAGAGAGCAAGGAGACCTGGGCTCTAATTTGACCTGCCCTGGCTTTCACATGGTCCTCAGCTGTTCCTACTGCCTTTATGTTTTATGTCACAGGACTCTCCCAGAGGAAGTAGTTCTGCAGGAGGAGAACCCTTTTACCTAGCACTGGTACTGCAGAGATTAATCAGCTAGGAAAGTGCTTTGGATAACTTTCTCTGAGCAAGGCTGCTGAATCTGAGCTCTGCTCTGTCCCAGAGCTTTCATAAAGCACTGGTAAAAGGCAGTTTTGCTTTTCATATGGGAACATGGACACCCCTGACTCTGAATGGGGCTTCCACTTGTCTCTCATACATCACTTGAAAAATCTGCTTCCCCGAGAGGAGAGTACAAAGTCAGAAAAGCACCTTACCTGCAGTGGAAATGGCCTGGTCTCAAATGAAGACAAATCCCATGCAAGCATTACATGCTCACTGGCAGCTTGTGCTGGCTGCTCCTAAGGGAGTCTTGTTTGTATGAGATTGTTTCCTTCCCCATCTCTCATCCATCATCTCCTCCTTTTGAGAGCTGGAAACTGGCCATCTCTATTTAGCAGGCTTGACAAGCCACCACTCTTCCCACTGCTGGTCTTTGCAGCCTGCAGAAGATCCTGTGGGCTCCATTAATTGTGGCTGCTGGTTTTAATTGAAAGCTCACATGCAAGCTAATCATTAAATGGCTCAGAACGGCTTTCCTAGTAGGAAAGGCTCAAAGGGCTGTTGGCAGGACGTGGGCAACTGGAGGAAGGCAAAAGTTTCAGCCTGGCATTTCTTCAGGGGAAAAGGCCAAATTCACACTCTGCAAGCATTCACTTTACAATTCTTGAAAGAAAGACATTGCCCCAGCTGAGTACAGACCTTTATGTTGCACAGTGAGCCCATTTTCTGGTTCCTTGGAAGAGGCTATCCTGGGAGCTGACAGAATCCAGCTGAGGAACTGCTCTGCTGCCACCCAACCAAAACCTCAGAGTGGTTTACACACGTTCCGCTCCAGAAACTGATCTGGGTTTCAAGACTTCTTCCTCCCTCACCCTAGCCCTTTGCCCAGAAGATAAAGCTTCCCCTCCCTCCATTGACTGCAAGTGTGACCAGCCACCTCACAGTGCTTTAAGCACACATTTACCTCAGCTGTGTTGAAGTCTTGGAGTACCTTGCTTCCTCTCCCACAGCCTTGGAGGGCTTGCTTCAGTGCCTAGTGACTGCCAATAAGTCCCTCTAGAGTTTTGCATGTGAAAGGTTCCGGTTAGCTTTAGTTGTAAAGAAGCTTTTTGCCTTTCTCCAAATCTCATTTCTGTTCTCCATGTTGTCAGCAATTCCTCAGGTCTCCTCCTCACGTACTTTACAGCTCTTTCTGTTCTCTTCTCGTGGCAGGTTCTGTACAATATCACCTTGTCTCCTACTTTTTCACCTTCTCCCATATTTCCCCATATGATTTCCATTTCTTGCTCCAGAGAAAGCACCAAAGAATCAGAATAAGTATGGGAGTTCACATGTCTTGGTTTTCACCTGCCTAGAACAGGATTTCAGCCTTTTCTAGCCCTTCTATTAACAAAGACAGTCTGTTTCTGTAGCCTGCTCTTTGGGTGTTCTTTGGCCATCTGCAGGCTGTTCATATAACCTGACAGACATCAGTCTTCTTCAGGCTCTTGCAGTGTGGATCACCACTTGCTAGACTTGCTGGAGCTGGGCTGCTTTCTGGTAAACCCTAAAGTCAAGCAGCAGGACCCTTTTGCTTTGTAAAGGATGAACATCTAATCCAAATGATGAACAGCCTAATCCAAAGTCCAGTGATGTCAACGGAAATGCTGTCACTCAGCTGGCTATGGACAGAGTCCCAGGAAATCCACTGTCATCCAGGCAAGGCATACCAACAAACCACTGGGCTGAGGAGCTGGGAAATGCCTTCCCTCCCTTCTTATGGGTGGTAGTTCCTTAGTGCCAGGGCTCAGAGAGACAGAACTACTTTTTCCACGCACACCAGATGAGAGAGTAACAAACAAGGAAGGCTATTTCTAAGGGAAGTGGGAGAGGCTCCATCCCCAAACTGTGTTCATAACAGTACTCATTAAAAGAGACATGCAGTCACAGGGAAAACAGAGGCTATCAAATTGAAGAAATTATTAAACATTTTTTCTTCTTCTTTTTCGTCTCTCATTAACCAGAAAAGCTCAGCATCCTTTGGATAGCAAAGGATACCCAATATCTCCCAAGACTGCACCTCATTGGTAGATTAAAGCCAGTTTGGCTACCCCCATCCCTGAATTGTGTGTGTGCTCACTGGTGCAACATTTAACCAGCTTCTCCCGCAGACTGTAGCCATGGCTATGCTGCTTGCTGGGCCTGCACGGACTGGCACTGAGTGGCAACAACGTCACAGGTCAACCCCAATGCGATTTCTTCTGTAATAAAGACATTTTGATTCTGTTCTGAACAAAGAATCTTAGCAAATTCTAATTCAAGAAACTGCTGCCAACACTTTGTCAGTTTTATTAATATACACCATCATAGCTTTGTAAAAGGATCCCTGTTCTCTGTTCTCCACTGCTTTTTTGCAGAGTTCTTTATCTTCTCCATACAGAAGTTTTTACCTTACTAGGGTCCAAAGAACCCTACTTCCTATCTGTCTGGAATCTCTTATTTAGTGACATGGAAGGCCGTGGTGTTTACACATTGCCACACAACTGTAATCTTACTGGAAATTATTATAACCTCAGCCAGAGAACCCACATCTATCTCCCAAAGTTGCTACGAGGCAATTAATGCTGAAAAAGCAGTAGCTAAAGCTTTTCAATCAAGAAACTTAGAAGCCATGCATATAGAATGATGCTAATACAGCAGCATTCCTCATGCTGACCTGCAGAATACGGAGAGAGAACTGCTGGGGACGCTCAGAGGTGTGCTTACGGACCACAGCAGGGAACCTGTGTTTTGCTTTATGAGTGTACCGATTGCCTTGCTGTGATGGACACAAGCTATTTCTGGACCAAAACAAAAAAAGTCACAGCTAAAGTGCATTGAAGGACATGGCCCTGTCACCAGCAGCAAGGAGTTCTGAATAACAGAAGCACAGGGGATCGAGCCAACGTTTTAAATGGGACATTATTTACTGTCAAGTCTTCCTGGCTGCAGGTGTTGAGGACAGCAAAAATAGCCTCACAGCAGTGTCTAGGGGTGAGCTGACGTGACAGGGCACTGTGGCACTCAGCAGGCCACAGCGTGCCAGGTAATGCCTGTCTGCCCCTGGCAGGGCAGGGCTCATGGTCTGAGCAGCCTGCTGCAGGCTGACAGCTCCTGCTGCTGCCTAAGTCTGCTTCTGAATGACAAGTGCTCTCAGAAACGTGTGAGAGCCATGCTGCCGTTCAGCATACAGTCTGATTTCTGCATTAGTGTTCTTTTTTTTCTCCAGCAGACTGCATTCTCTGTGTTATAGAAATGGGCTGGGGCATTGCCAAGGAGAGTTACAAGTCATTTAAGCCATTTGTGAATGTGCATGACTAAAAATCACTGTTAGCTAGCATAACAGGACAGTCAGAGTGTACTACAAGGTGCTGCAACACAAAAGAGAAACAAAAGTGGTACCATTTCTACGAGAGAAAGCTTGAAAGCCCTTCTATGGTACACATGGGTATGTCACTTTTTCTACAGCTAGTACCCCTCAAAAGATTTTTTGTAATGAAACTGTTTAAAATGGAGAACACACACAAAAATATTGCTCTCACCTCCCCAGCATCTGTTTAAATTGTAATACATCCCTAGAGCTTCAATCTTTTAGAGAACAAGTCTCTCTGCTGCATTTTACATCTGCCCTTTGATTGCAAGAGGGGTAAAGAAGCAAGAGTTCAGCATGAACTGGGCTCCAAACTCCTGTATGAATGAGAAAGGTATTTTTCAGTGGCTAGCCAAAATACGAGGAGAAAAGGTAGCTGATCTAACAGGTACCGCTTCACGATCTACCATAGAACTGCACTAATATAAACCAGATTTGCCTCACCAAAGTAAATAAAAGAGCTGTGTTGATTAACTGCAGATGAAAATCCAGTCCACAGATCTTAAAGAAAAAGGGGTGGAAGAGCCTAGAGCTCTACTAGTGACTGGGGCTCTCTACAGAGGATAATCTTTGTGTTATCTGCAGAAGCAAAAGGGTGGGTGTTACTCAAATCTGCTTATGAAGCAGAGTAGCATCTTACAGTTTGTCTACTTAGGAGAGCAAATGAGTTCCATCTGCTGAGAAACAGGACTACGTTCATGCCAAATTCCCACTCATGCTCTAAACAGTATTTTCTAATAGCAACCATAAAAAGCACTCCATGAAATACAACCTGTACTGGACTGTTACCTACACCTGATGAAGGGAGGAAGTTGAAACGTGCTGATCTGCTCTGTTTGCCTGCCTTGTTAGTAAAACACCTATGTTTTGCTCAGCTCTTGCTGTGCTGGATCAAACACACCTTCAATTCTGTATCTTTCTTTGATCCCTGCAGACTACAAAGCCAGGTTTCCAGTCAGGACAGAGAGACCTAAAATATTCTTCACCATTCATTCAGCCATGGAGATGAGAGTTCAGAAGATAGCACAGATAAATAGGGTTCCTGTTACTAAAACGACTTAAACCATAGGAAAAATACATAAATAAATAAATAACCCCCTGTATTGCTGCATAAAGCAATAGCAACAATAGCATCCAACGGAAGGCTCCACAAAAGGCTTTCAGAATTAAAACTCAGATCCCCAGCTCCTTTCTCTTATTCTACTGTCACTGTAGCTATACAGTGTTATTAAAAGAGCAGTCATGTCACAAACTAGAGTTTCTAACACTGTCATTCACTGCAGATACTTACACCTACAGGATTACTTAAAGTAAGAGCTTGAAACTCAGACCCAAAAGCCTATTTCACCTGTTCTCAGGCCCACTGAAGTTTTGGGGGTTTTATTCACATGTAGTGGCATAGACCAGGCAAAGTGCTGTGAAAATGGGTGTGCATTCGCCACCCAGACTGAGGACTGATTCTTCTGTGAGAGCAGGAGTAACTCACAGCATCATAAGGTGAGAATGCATTTTAACGGATGCCTGTACATTCCTATTCAGTACTGAAGCTTGGTTACGGTATCTATCAGAAAGAATGTTGACCGGAGATCCCCAAACTCTCACTGCGTCTCAATTCACTGCGCAGCTATTAGCGTGAGCTCCCCCTTACTGGAGAACACTAAGACCAGTGTTAAAGTCTGGTGACAGGAGTTACTTAAAAATACACATGGCTTTAAAATTAGCACCCAAAAGAATGCCAAGGTAACAGCTCGAAAACTTGAGCCTCTCTTCATAGGGATCACACACAGCACAGGGAGCAACCGGCAGAGCTCTGGGAAAGCTCACCCTTTTCTTGTCTGAGCCACCTACGGCCCATCCACAGAGAAGCACAAGCAATGAAGAGCGCTCTCGTGGAACAGATTTTAACTAGTGTGTTAGCAGCAAGTGATGTACAGGGTGTAGCGGGCTCTCAGTTACACTGCCGTCACTCCGCAGCTATCTGACTGGCCTTAGCGGCTGGGGTTACTAAACATCGGGGTTCCACACAGAAGACACGTAGTAGGGCAGCTGTTTAATCTGAGAGATCTCAAACACGAGCGGGATAAGTTTAAAGCAGCATAAACCACGCTTTCCTCCCCGGCTGCCCACTCTTTCTGTACCCGGTGCTCAGCCATGCAGGCAGCCGTGCCCGAGCCCAGCCTGGGACTGGAGCTGGGGCACCCCAGCCCCTTCCCTGCCCACCCACCCACCCCGCCT